ATTCCTTTTCAATGTTGAAAGCTAGTGTTACTGTTCTTGTCCCAGTAAGAAAGAGGTGTTTCAGTATTACCAAATTAAATTTTGAGCGACGCTAAAATATTTCAGTGACAAGGTTGAGAAACTCGGAGAAATGGAACTCTGAGTGCTTCCTGAAGGAGTCAAACCTTCCAAATTCCGACTAGTACTTCAAGCTAGTGTTACTACCATTTCAACTTTGTTGCATGATATATCCAAATTATTTCGTTACTCCCACCGACGCAGCCCCAAACAGTACTTCAAGTGCTTTACCACTTAGCCATAGGAGACTCGTGGTAGGCTGAGTCTTTCGACTGGGTCCATGGTCCATGAAATATGAAGTCCCTTCATATTCTTACTGCATTTTTAATGCAGAATAGCGCGGTATTATAAAAAGATTAAACAATCAACCTAAATAAGTTACTTTCTTTATCCACACTTCTTACTTCTCTCCCGCTTTAGTGCTCTGCAGTGTGTCCGTTCTAACTAAAAGAATGCTCGGCATGCCCGGCTTAATTGGATTGTTTCGTTGTTTTGATGTTTCTGTTAGACTGCTAACCATCAAACGCAAAGCAGTCGATCATCATGACAACATTTTGCTGAGTTGAAACGCTTCTCGTCAAGAGGAAACAATTGTAGGAGAGGACCATCATTAATAACTGCTTCCACTTCTCTTGCTGTTTCTCCGATTGTTCATTTTATTCGTTTGCTGAATTCAAATATGTTAACTGCCAACCCATGCGACAGTATTACCGGTGAACTTTACAGTCTGAGAGTTACAAATGTACATTAAAGGCCGTATGAGTCGTATAGTCATTGGTAGAAAAGGCTGTCCAACGCTTGCAAAAATTCTCGTGGATGTGGTGGCCAGCCTCTGACAATTAGTGTCCTTTGTTTCGGTTTGCGGTTTGACAGATATCATGATTATACCTGTTGAGCCAAAAAATATTATCGCTACTTCTAAAGGATAAGCTCACAACTACTATCAGTGAAAGTACGCCCTGCAAATTTTCACCAAAGACATAACGCTCTTAATTTCATCGTAGTAGTAAAATACACTCCGCAATATATTTGCTCCTGTCGTGGTATGGCTTACTACTTCCAATGTGTTAGGACAAGTTGCGCGTATCATTTCTCAGGATCACCTGTGCAGACCTTTATTTGGCCGGATCACTGAGCCTGCCTCGCAAGTAGACAGTTTCTTTGAAAGAAAATGTTTACTCGTGTTTCTAAAGACGATTCACATGCCACGGAGTATTTCCCTTTGCAAAAAAATAAAGCTTACAAGAGAAAGCCTCAGGTATTCAAGATTGCAGGTCTTCAATTAAATGTTATCATGGTTTCATGAGTCAACGCACGACGAAAGTTCTTGATCAGTATTCGTATGTTAAATTCCACTTTCAGACACTCGGCAAACATCACGCAAGCTGTTCATACGATTAAAATGGAGTTGTTTCCCTAGTCTGCGGTGCAAATAAAGTTTGTGGTCTTCACTGACGACAGAGATTATCCGCTCAATTAACACTTCTCTTGAGCATCAATGCGTCATAACAAACCCTGCGTCTTTTTCAAAAGCGGCACCCCAAGGAGTGTCTTAACGTCTTTTTCGTTTTCATTTAATTTTTTAATTCAATTTTTTTTTTAATTTTTTCGGATGGGGAGTATGGCGGTCGGAGGATTTTGGTGGTGTCGGGTCAAAAGTTAAGTGATTCCCCATAAGGCTCTGTGATATTCTTCTGATTCCTCCGCATTGGCAGTTAATTTACAGCAAGAAATTATATTTTTTGTTTTCAATCAATTTCCTTTCAAGTCCCCTACTCCTTTATACTCTGTTAGCGACAACTGATCCCTTTCTGTTCCCCCCGAGAACCATATCACCCCCAAAATCCACCGGACCCCCCGCAACAATGACTGGTCACTTATTAACAGCTTTTTAAAAGCATGTCAGGCATCCTGAAAATTCCAACGTGGACGGATATGTACTCCAAATCCATGCATCGAAAAGTAAATTACTTGCTGACTCTAAAACTTATAACCTTAGGCAATATCACTTAACTTCACGACAGGTTTAACCAAACTCGTTTCCATGCGCTCAAGAGGAGGAAAATGAAAACTAGAGCTGTGTTGTGAATAAACAGAGATATATATTTCTATTCTTTTGAAATTTGTCCTGTTCTTCAAACAGATTGAATATACTGTGAGTTTTAAGAAGAGCAAAGGAGAAATTGGAAATCCATGCAACTTGCAGCCAGATATTTTATTTGCGTTCCGCTTTTCACCAGTCCCCAATTTGTGATGTCATCGTACTGATTGTGACTTACCTTGGTTTAAGGCACTTTCATCAAATCCTTCCCAAGAACGACTGCGAATGAGGTGGCGTTTGCTCAGTTTGGCCTTTGTTGATTAGAGCGCTGACACCTTTGAACTTGCATTATTCCTGTTGATTTACAAATTAAAAACAAATTTCGTTTTCCACTCTTGTGCTTTGTAATCTGCACACAAGATATATAACCATATCATCTATTCATACCTAAACCTTTTTCAGTGTGCAGTATGGCCAGCTTCCAAGTAATGTTTAGGGCTCAGTTCCGTAAACCTTGGAAAACGTTGCCAACCACCTTATTATCAATTATTTTCACTCGACTTTAATTTTGCGTATTTGGAATATGAATATTTCGCGGGACTTAAAAATCGCAATTTTGATGAATCGCCATTTTTCAAGGTAATCAAATTTCATGAATTAAGTAACTGGTGCTCGTTTTTAAACCTCCATTTCTGTATTTTATTTAATCATAACGGAATAGAAACCCCAAATGCAATAAACAACTGGCTGAAATGGTTGACAACATCAGCAACGTAGCAACATCTTTTAAAAGAGCTGATACATGCAAGATGAGTCCAATAATGAGGAATAAGGGTGTACGTTGAACTGAAATTTGAGCCGTCTTACTCATGTAAACTCCTAGCAGACGGAAAGCTTAAATAAAAGACTTTATAAAGGTCTCTAAATTTTGCTTCTTCAATTTTCGTAGCACCCTTTTTTCACTGGACTTTAATTTTGCAAATTTTTTTTAAATCACGAAAATCAAGTGTCGCAAAAATAAGTTATAATAAGGTAAATAACTCGGTATCTGATCGACAGCATAACCTGTTGTGTTATCAATTAGCAGTTAATGGAGTTTATACATGTAGTGCTGTCTAACTTGAAATAAGGCTGTCCAACCTAAAACATTACAGCACCATGTCATCTGTACTATGTGCTTTGATTAAAACTAAATTCTCAACTGTTTCCATGGAAAGAAATCACTCCATGTTTAATTCATGTGTCAACATATTTTCCTATAAATCATGTAGCCACTGTTTTCCAGGTAACCTTCACCTTGCATAGTCTCCATACTGTTCTCTATACATTTCCTAAGGTGCTGACAGGGAGAATTTCTTTTCCAATCAAGAGCATATATTATTGGTGATCATTTCTTTTATTCTCCTGACCTTAATGTGTGATTCAGGGGTGATATTGTAAGGAGAAATGTAATAGTGGTCACTCTGAGGGCCTAGGATCTATTTCTGTTATTGCATGACATGTGATCTCTATTTTAGGGTTGTTATTTTGTGGAAATAATTATTGTGGAAATAATTATTGTTTATATCATTCTGGTCTGGAATGACAACAACATTTTCCTTTTTGTTTTTTTTCACTTTAATTTTTTTTTTCAATTTTCGAACAGGTGTTGACTTCAAAGTTAAAACTTTGACTGTGGATGGAAATAAAGCTAAACTAGCAATTTGGGTAAGAACTGCTCTTGGTGAACNATATTCATCAACGACTTGTTTTACTCGGTTACGCAAGGTAAATTTCACGCATATGCGGACGATCATCAGTTATACTCTTCTGATGTCGACCCAGTAGCTCTAGAGAACTGTATTTGTCGGGAAGTGAGAGTTGCAAATAAGTGGTATCGCAGCAATGGAATGATTGTAAATGAGACAAAACACCAGGCTATAGTCTTGGGAAAAACAGGCCACTCCTTCTCTTTTCCATTAAAAGGTTCTTTGCATCAATATATTTGGAATAAATATTGACAATAGGTTGCGTTTTGATAATTATATATCAACTATTTTCAAGAGAATAAATGGCCTGAGTTCAATGTGATGCTAAGATTTTGTAAACTTACCTCTAAAGATACTCTACTAAGATTGTATAAGGCTTTTATTATGCCACATTTTAACTATTGTTTGTCTGTATGGCACTTTTGTGGTTCATGTGATACTGAGAAGATAGATACTTTAAACAAGCGAATTCTTAGATTTATCTTGCAGGATTATAATTCTCCCTATGACTCTCTACTTCACAAAGTTAACTCCAAATCTCTGTATAAAAGTCGCCTTCAGACTTTCTTTGTACAAGAGCTAGTTTTTAAACTGCTATCCAGGCTATCTAAGGAATATGTTTAGTTTCCGGTCTGTATCCTATAATCTATTTTGTCTCTACCGTCTACAAAAACTACTACATATGGTTTTCACTCCTTTTCATATATGGCTTCAAAACTATGGAACTCTATTCCAGACTCTTTTAGAACGTGTGACTTTTCTGATTTCAAGCTCAAGATTCTACAGTATGACTCTTTCTCATAGTTAAATTTTAGAATGTTACAATTTGACATTTTACATTTTAGTAGTATTTAGAATTATACTTGTAACTGGAAGATATTAGCTTATCTTTTAGCTACTCCAAATTCGAGATTAAATAAAGTATATGTATGTATGTATGTACATTGACCATATATGCTCATGTAAATCAGCTTGTTTCAAGCTGCTGCAGCTTGTGGGCATCACTAATTCTATCATTCCTTTAAGCGGTATAAATGGAATAATGTCCATTGTTTTTTTGTTTTTTTTCTGTATTAAACACTTCCTGAAACATTCAACTGCTTCAGGAGGCAGATCCAATTCAGTTCTAACAGAAGTTTCATATATTTGCTGTGTTTGATGGAAAAAAAATTGTTGCAGATTTCAAATGTGAGTAATTATTAATTATAAAAATGGGACCAGAGAAGTAAGTCCAGGTGATCAGTAACTCCAGATAATCAAAGTTTAATTGTACTATTGGATTACCTCTGATAATTAATAAGTATTTTAATGGTATAACATCAATTGTTTTTATTCAGGACACAGCAGGACAGGAACGGTTTAGAACACTGACTCCTAGCTACTACAGGGGAGCACAAGGAGTTATTTTAGGTAACAGTGATGAAATCATTTTGTAACCTCTTTCCTGGCAGTTATCATTGTTTAGAATATTTACGATTGGTTTAGCATTTCTCAGGGGTTTCATTAAGGGCCAGGCACCGGGCAAATTGACCGGTTGTGAAGACGGTTTTGCCCACCTGATTTGACGGCCTGGAGGAAAGTTTATCTTATAAAGAAGTTCAGTTCAAAGAGTTTTACCCGCCTGTGAAAACCAGTTGCCCTCCTGCAGAAAACATTAATGAAACCCCTGATTTCTGTATGCTTATGGACAATGATATTCATCAATGCAGTAGTTGAAATTTGTTGCTGACTCACTTGGGTAGACCTGGTGAGTTTACAACATTTTGGCCACTGTACTGTGATTACAAATATTGTTGTTGATAAGAGTACAGACCACCCCACCCTACCCCACTGTCAATTTGTTGAGTTGATGATAGTATTCCAAGTAACCAAGTAACTCTTGTTTATCTTTTCCTTTAGTTTATGATACAAGTAGCAGAGAAACATTTGATAAACTTGAAGAATGGCTCAATGAAATAGAAATGTATTCGACAAAAAAAGACATC